AAAGCCTGACAGGGATCTCATGAGTGTGTCGGCATAAATTAATATTATAAAACATATTTACATTTATATATGTAGGAGAAAACAATACTGGCTACTTGGCCAGTCAGTATCTAGGATATAGTTTTCAATTAGTTCATGTCTTCACTGGAAAAGTCATTGTTGGTGTCACTAATGATTTTTCAATAGTGCTCCTCTATGGTTGAATCATCGTGATTCTTCTGTGTCAGAACAGCTCTCTCTCCACTTTGGAATTTTTTTGTATTCTTTAATGAAGGAGCACATTCCCTTTCAAAGTTTTTTGTTCCCCAAATATGTCCACCTTCTTTGGTGGCCAGCTATAACTACCTGTTACACACTTTCTTCAAAATTGTCCACAGAGTTGTTCATACCTGAAACACTCAAATAAAAAGTGTTCTACAGTAGACCCCCCCTATAACACTGTTGATAATTCCGTTTTATATGAATTCCATGTTGTACGAGTCACTTAGATTTTACAAATACGTTTTGCCGGGCTGTGAATGACACACGTATTTGTAAAATTTAAGTGACTCGTACAACATGGAATTCATATAAAACGGAATTATCAACAGTGTTATAGGGGGGTCGACTGGTACATTGTATATTGTCCTCACACTCTGTGTTAACCTGGTAGTTCTTGTTGTTGTCTTCTTGAAACAGTACAGGTAGGATTTGAAATTTACATATCATGTAACACATTGGTGATCTCAAATTCTGTTTTGAAGTTTGTTTTTTTCTCAAATTTCAATAGATGGAATGAATTTGAAAGTGACTCTGCATTTTGGATGTCTTCCACTCCTCCTGCCACATGTTCCTCACAGTTTCTTTCAATTTCTTTCTAATGGCTGTTTTTAGTATTCTGCTATAAGTTATAACAGTGAGGTCTTGCTTGCTTTTTTAGCCAAGAGGTTTGCAGTCTTGTTTCCTTCATAACCACTGTGGCTTGTGGAATCCACCTGAACCAGATTTTCTTTTTTATTTCTCAAATTTTGAACTACAGTGGATGATCAGTTAATGAACATAATTTATTCCAAGACTTTGTTCATTATCTGAATTGTTCATTAACCGATTATCGATTTACTATAGATTTTTATGGAAATTTGATTAATTTGTTCCAGAGACTCCAAAAAATAAAAAATATACACCTTTTTACTATGTTTATTTATATGGAATAGTAAAAATATATATATATGCAGTCTTGCATTTTTATTAGTCATGTTTTTTCTGTTTGTGGGGGTTAAAGAATCTGTCCAATGTTGATTGCTTTTTCTCTTTTCTTCAGGATTTTTCAGAAGTAATTAATAGTATTGTAATTGTAGAGATTTCCAACCCCATTAACCTTAATCTGGTTTGGATGCCACTTGGATGATCGTTGTTCTGACATCTCTGGAGTTCTTCTGTCGACAGATCAGTTTCAGGTTCCATTATGAGCTCTAAAATGCTCTTTATTTCTCAGATGTGATTTTCATTACTCCATTAGCAGCTTCAGACTTCTTGATATATCTTCCATAGCTAAGATTGTGCTTACTGTAGACCTGTTCAAGCCATACTGTCTAGCAACATCAGACATCTTGTGCCCACTTTCTACCTTGGCTATTATCTCTTACTCGGTTTCTATGGTGAGCATAATTCTTGACACTCCTCTTTTTAGACTCCATAATATTATCAGTTTCTTTTTTAAAAAAAAGTTCAGAAAAGCACTTATAAAAATTCAGAGAACAGAAATCAACTAGCCCACAAAAAATTATTTAAATGCAAGGCCCAGATGAAATTCGAAATTTGGTATTAAAACATTAACAAATATCTGATGGGACAGTTAAACTTTCACCTTTCGTAAATAAACTCCAACACAAAACTTAACAAGTGCTTGTCCGACAGTCTCACGAAGACTATAAAAAATTATTTGTCAGAAAGGTAAACAAAAAGCTAGAATTACAAGGGAGAGTTTCAAAATTTGAAGGAATACTATCTGATCGGTATCGGGTTGAGCATCGATGTTGACGTCTCCTGCGCTCCAAAAGGTTTCAAATTGTTACCTGAAGACAAGGGAAAATCAATTGGTATTTGTTATTTTCCATTGCTTCTTTTTATGTTTGTTCAGTAAAGTGTTTGGACAACAAACACATGTTCAGATAACAATCATAAAAATCTTTCGTGAAAGTGTTGATTATCTGATTTGGTCTCTATCCAAACTGTTCATTAATCGATCACCCATTGTATTTGAATAAGTTCTCTTGTTAGGAGTGTAGTCTTTTTCTGGTTCTGAAGCACATGAAGTACTGCCCTACTGTTTGTGTATACTGTTACAGGATCTTTAAAGATTCTGCTGTTCTTTTCTATGTATTGAAGTGCTTTGTATACTGCCCAGAATTTGGCATGCATTATTATGCAGTAATGTGTTAGTTTGAGCTGCTTGATAGTATTTTTTGTCATTCTCATTGGTGATGAGTATTCAGGCTCCTGTTCTTTGTGCTGTTTTGGATCTGTTCATGTATATTTTCTAATGACTTGTCTCTGTTTTGTTGTCCCTCTGAGGCCTTGCATTTTATCTGCTTATCGACTTCAGGGATTACCTTGATAGCATTCTTAGGTTTTTTCATTGTCATTACAACTGCTCAAACTACTCGCTCTCATACACACTTCCATCTCCTCCCACTTTCCTTAGATTTTTAATTGTGACTTTCAGTTTGAGGTTTCATATTGTCTGTGATTGTTTTTGTTATTGTATCCATGTCTGGAGTTTGCCCTTCCTCATTTAGTTTCAGTTAGATTATTACTGTGTGATTTACCCCTGTTCCTACAGAGCTGATCTTTTCATTGATGGATTTATTTATTGTCTTGGTTGTGGAACTTGGCCTTGTTTCCTGTGTCAGAATCTCCACAAAAATAGTAGAGTCCATATCAAAGTAAAATAGAAACAGACAAAAGTTTTTGTCTGTTTCTATTTTACTCTGTTCATTTGATCTATTTTGCAGTTTTTTAATTATTCCTATTTGATTCAGACATCCAAACAATCTGAATTCATTGTGTCTAATTTCTAATCTGTCCTCCTTTTTAATAGTTGAATGTGTCATTTCCAGGCACAGATGGAGAATTTGTCTGAGCCAATATCCTGTCTGTCTTAGAATCTTCTCTTCCAAAGGTGTGACAGAGATGATGGGTTATTCCATTTTTCAATGGGCAGAAATTGGTCTTGTTGCACGCAGCTGTAACTTTTGGATGAGAGTCACAACAATCAATTGCACACTGCTTGTCAATTTGAACAATTCAAAACAATGGCAATTTCAGAGAATGAACGAAAGGACTATGCAATGTTTGACTACTAGTGAATGTAACAAGAAAACAACAGTCAATCCAATAGGTCGAAAACCAAAAATACTTGCACATAGACATTCAACAAAGGATGCTGACAGCAGTTCAAGCTGTAAACAGCTTTGAAAAAAGAAGAAATAAACCATAAGCACTATACTAAGATGAAAAAAAAACATTAAAGGCTACTGAAATCCCTTGACTGAATAAAATTTCCTTTAGATCCAGAAGGAAGAGTGGCCAGTTGAAAGGTGGGAACAACTGAAATGCAGGAGAGTAGTCGAGAAAAGCCAAAAATGACCACTGAGAATGACTCTCCAATTCCTGCTTTGACTGATTTGGGATTGTACTTTCTGGGCAGGCAGAAGGCACAAGAATCTGGAATGCAATGCAGTTGTGTTGGGGGTCACATGTGCAAAGATCCACCCAAGAAAGATTGGTTCCAGTGATAACCACTTTCATCTTGAGCAAAAGCTCTCTTAGTGACCAATTTCCAGAAGTGTTTTCTAATCGAAAAAGTCCATGTCACAGATGACGTGAAAAGTCTGTACCCGAAAGGTGGCCAAGAACTAACTACAAAAGACTGAAAAAGGAAACAAGAATCGTCTAATCTTTATTTTAAAAAAAAATTAAAACTAATAAACTAATAAAACTAATTAAAACTAATAAAGATAACTTTTGAGTGTAGGTAGGTCAAATGACTCCTGCCGATTGCTGTTAAAGCAAATAACAAGAACCTGAGCAAAAGCACAAAACTGAACAAAACTACTTAAAAGCTAACCAGAAGCAAAATTTAACTCAATTCAAACAAGAAAAACACTAAAATAACAATTGCTAAAATTTAAAAAGACTGTGAAAAAATTACCATACAAAGTCTCTGCAACAGTCATCTTAACCGGTCAACAGTTCAAAATATATTGAAAGTGACAAAAGAAAGTACTGTACATAAGTGATAAATTTGGAAAATTTGGATTTTTCACTGTTAGGATAAATTTGGAAAATTTACTATTTAACTATTAAATATTTTTACATTATAGCACTTATAAAAGTCTCTGGGGTTTATCAAAATGAACACATGATACCTGACCTGGGTTGTTTGCGCATCTATTTACTCTGTCCTGGTATGTTGCTACATTTCATTGTATTGCATAGTATTGAGTTGATCTAGGAACACATAATTCACTATTGCCAAAAATTGATATTATAATAATTTGGAAATGTGTACTTTTATTGATTTTATTAATAATAAGTGGTGTTCTTGATATTTATAACAAGTATTTATGATATTACAGTTTTTATTTTGCATCAGTGAAAATATGTTGAAGTATAAACACTAACAGAAACCCAATGCATAGCAAATGAACACCCACACTGCCATAAAAAATTGGGCTATAATTTGGAAATAATAATATGAGATGGTGCCTAATGCTTCCCTCTAGTGCCAAATTCATTTATAATTCATAATTCATAATTATTATTTCCAAATTATAGCCCAATTATTTACAGCAGTGTGGGCATTCATATGTTAAAGTTAATGTAGAATTAAAATTTTGGTAATTTAACTATTTGTGTTAATAACATTTACTTTATATATTAATAGATAAAAGTATAAATTTATATACTCACTTTCATCTTACTTATGTTATTATTTGAAATATTTGTTTATTTTTTAGGTTGTTAATACATCTCATTGTTCATCTTTTCATGGTGTCTTCCATTTGTTCTGGTACAAGTAAAAGCAACCAAATGCATGATACCATGCCTGTAACACGTTTCCATACTAATCATGGAAAAAATATAATCTTGTATGACAACAATATGGTAGCATATCGAAAAGCAAGCTTTGCCCATGCTATTACTTTCTCAGAGAAACCTCTTTTACCTGACGAAATATTTCTGCTAGAAATAGAAAAAAATGAAAGAGGATGGAGTGGCCACATGCGGCTAGGGTTAACACAACACAATCCATCAACAGCATTTTCTCTTCCTCAATATGCTCTTCCAGATTTAGCGAACAAAGGAAGATCATGGATATTTGCCATTAATAATTCGGATGTGGAAACTGATCATAACTTATATGCACATGTTAAACCTCCACCAACTGTTTTAGGTATGTATTTTAAAAATATTAAATTAGGATTTTGTTTCATTATGTTAAATTGGACAAAGCATTGAAATCTACCATATTATTTTGTAAATAAATAAATTACAAATTTTTTTTAAAAATCTAAATTGCAAATCCAAATGCATATTATAAAATTTGATTACACATTATCAGTTGTAACTTATAAGTAAACAATTATAATAGAATTAAAACTTAGTTAATTAATTTTTTATTTCATATTCAGTAATGAAATTAATGAACTTATTTCTTATACAAAAGAAATAAGAATGTAATATAAATGAAACAATAATAATAAAATTATCCATTTAAACAATGAAAATATAAAAGAATTTGAAAGTGTATTGAAAACTTCTTTATTAAAAATTGCATTTTGATGAGCTCATATCTCTTGTTTAGGATTGTTTTTAGAGATATACTTAAACCAATGCTAGCAACAAAATTGATTTTCAGTAAAACCAATTAATCAATTTTCAGTAAACTGCGTTTTAAGCTAAACCTGAAAATTGGTTTTCAAAACAAATTTTGAATAGGAATGAAAACAGTATTGTTATTACAATATCATTTTGTTTACATGCCACTTTTTTGACTCTTAGTTGACAGTTAAGTATGCTTGGATTTAAATTCTACACAATTTGTGCACTACATTAATTTACTATCCTTGACTTTTTAAAACAATGCAGGCATTAGTTATGTTTAAATTTGAAATTAAAATTAATGTGAAAACAAGCAAGAAGTAATCTTAAAACAACAAAGTTCTGAAATGCTATTTGTTATCAATAAATACTCCAGCATTTGCCAACATCAAAGAAACACTGACCTTTTTTTGACAGGAATAAAATGTGATACAGACATATTTATGGATCTTGGCTAATAATAATTATTGTAGTACTTTTTTAATAGTAATAGAATATTAATTAATATTTATAAAATACAATAATAAAACATTAATTCTGCTAAATTCAGAAGTTTTGAAACGGGTTTGTCATCTATTTTAAAGGTTTTAGTAGATGTCTTCATCAAGAAGCTTTTAAATTTTAAAATATTATTTAATGTACAGTCTTATAGAAAAGTTTTTATGATTTAATAATCAAATTCCTTTTAATAAATAAAAAAATAATCAATTTGTTACTAAAGAACATTTTACAAGCATTAGTATTGTACCAGAAATAAAACAGCAAAGTCAGATAAAATACACCAGAAAAGTTTTATTTTTAAACAAATGTATTCTTTTTTATCCAAATGCTGAGTGAGTGGGTTTGTTTATAAATAACATTCAAAATATATGAATGTCATGCCCACCAAAACAAGTAAAGGAAACGGTGTTTGTTAGGAATAAAATCAATATGATCTTTGAAAAGATATTAAATTTCCTAATTCATAAACTAGCATGATGAGTTTTTCTATCTTATTATGAGATACTTAATTTTATTTAAAAATATTCAGTATTCATGACAGCTATCATAACTATTATGTCCATACACAAAATTTTTAAAGGGTGGGATTTAAAAAAAAATATATATATTTTTATAGTTTATTAATTTTTATGATATAGATATATAGAGTAACATAATACAGTAGACTAAGTAAGACTTGAATAATAATATACTGTTTTATTAACATAGTAACATTTTCTGTTTGAATTGCCAAATGGCATGGTTTAAACTTTCCAAAATTCCCTTATGCATGGTCTTATGCATTAATATTTATATTAATCATATTCCATGTTTATAATACTGAATGTCTAATTTTTGTCCTATGTTCATTGACACGGATTAATTTATTAACATTCAATTAGAAATGAATATGTACTCCCAGAAAATTTTTATTTATTATCAGAAATTTGTAATTTATTTCTAGATGGATAAAAATAAAGACAAATTAATGATTTCTGAATTATTGAAAATTTTTATCCTACTCTTCATTTAATATCCTTATTTTTCATGAATCAAAATAATTGTTAAATATAATTTGTGTCTGTTCTTTAGTACACAATAGGTCTTTTAGATCTATATGCACTTAGCCTACTGGCTTCCACTTATATAATCTTATACAGTGTTCTCAATTTGAATAACTAAAATGAAATTTACAAAATAAAAAAAATATAAGATTTTTAATTATAACAATTCTAAGGATTTTAAATGTAAAACATTCAGCTGGATTATTATGGCTATAAATGTATGCAATTTTACTAGTTGATAGTGCTGTTATTTTAAATGAATGGTTATTGATTGTAATTAGAAATGAATTTTTATTAATTTAAAAACATTTGGAATGAAAGATTGATTTAAATAGGTTTTGAACCAGTAACTTTTGCAAGCTTGTACCAACTTTTTGATAATTAGTATTAATAATTAAAACTTTATTATTAGTATTGAATAATACATAATAGAATAATAATCTGTTATAGAAATTTTTTCTTTCTTAGGTCCTGGTGAACAAGTATATACAAGTAGAGGTGTAATTTCACGCAGCATGCTACGACCAATTGCTAGACCTCATCAAACTGGAGGAAGTTCAGATGGTGAAGAATCAGTTGCAAGTGGTTCTCCTACACGATCAGATTCAAGTCCTTTAGAAGATTTTCAAGGAAATAGGTGAGACTTCATTTAAATGTAATTAGATTTTACAATAATTGTATTATATAAGTAATCAAACATCTTTACATACCCAATTGATTAAGGCTATCCATCTACCAAAGCCGTGTATTATCGGGCTAGCCGTTTCTAGCCCGATAATATATGGCTTTGGTAGATGGATAGCTTTAATTGTATTATATTTATATTAAATTATTATTTGGTATAAACAACAAAAAGTTTTTACTTCTCCATTTAAGAAATTTTTCTTATAAATTTTGAATCAGAACTAGTTTGGATTTTAACATAAATATTAAGATATGAATAGAGACAAATAAAAATTGTAAAATGAAGTAACTCTCTTTGATGAAACTGTCAATACAGTATACTAATAATAGAGTATACTGAGAGTAATAACTCTCAGTATACTGTATTATAGCTTCCATTTATTTATAATTTTATTGTCATTTAATCCAAACAATTCATAATAATTTCTTATTATAATTGTTTAATTATAATAATAGAGTTATCCCTCATACAACACTGTTTTGCTCTAACATGGTTCAAAAATTTGGGAAATCATCTGTACAAAATTTCACAATTTTCAAGTACAAACTTCATTATACAATATTTTATTCAAGTAAGCATGCATGTTATCTCAATTTGCCAACAGATTTTAGAATATTGAAATTTTCAATTTGTTTTGTTTTTTATCAGGTTTTATCATTTTAATTTTCTTTCTTGTCCTAGCTTTCCTATCAACCAGGTGTCATTGTCATTACTTTCAGACTTTAGCCTTTAATTAAATTAATTAAAAACCTACTAATGAGGTGGGAATAAGGACTTATCACATCAGTGATAATAAGCACAGATACCCAGGTATCAATGGAATACATTTAATAAAACGAGAAGGGGTGTACATTAAAAACGATTAAATTAACAATTGACATGAAATAACCAAAATGCATTTCAGACTATCGGAATAGTCCCTCTTCAGTTGGTATACATATATAAAAAAGGTGATATACTTAAAATTATACAAGACAAAGGAACCGTTATAAAGTTATGATCATTGAGCAATAAATGGGTGTAGAGGAGACAGACGTTAAGGACTTATGGTGGCTTCATTATGTTACGTGGTAGCTTGACATAAGGGTTACTATTATAAACAGTATTAAAATTAGCGGAATAATAAGGTAATTGTTTTACAAAATAAGTTATATCTACATACCATAACAGTAGTAAGATGGAGTTTGAAGGTGGCATTGCTACAAGATGCAGAGCAGTTATGAGGGAGGTGTGTTACAGGCAACATCTGGAGAACATGTGGTGACTAACATCTTAATGACCATATAACGGTTCCTTTATCTTGTATAATTTTAAGTATATCACCTTTTTTATAACGGTTCCTTTATCTTGTATAATTTTAAGTATATCACCTTTTTTATAACGGTTCCTTTGTCTTGTATAATTTTAAGTATATCACCTTTTTTATATATGTATACCAACTGAAGAGGGACTATTCCGATAGTCTGAAATGCATTTTGGTTATTTCATGTCAGTTGTTAATTTAATCGTTTTTAATGTACACCCCTTCTTGTTTTATTAAATGTATTCCATTGATACCTGAGTGTTTGTGCTTATTATCACTGGTGTGATAAGTCCTTATTCCCACCTCACATTAGTAGGTTTTTAATTAATTTAATTAAACCAAGGGTAAAAAGCAATTTCTTTATATTAATTTAGCTTTTAAGACTGTCATTGTGTTTTGTTTTATAGCTTAATCTTTATATTTAGTAAAGTTTATTTAGGCATTTGTAGGTAAGTGGTGTTTAACTTTTTTAACCATAGGTAAGTAATCATTCATAAAAATGATGAATAATATACAACGATATCTCAGTATTCAGACTGTTCTCAACTTAAACAATTCAGTATTTGAACACAAAATCTGGAGAAAAAGTCACTGTACTTGACTGAACAAATGTTGCTTGCTAGAAAATATTTTTATTTTGTCATCCATAAAATATTTTTTATGATAAAAATAAAAAATTGAAAATGTTGCTTATACAGTAGAGCATCGATTATCCGACCCCTGATTAACCATCACATCGGTTAACTGACCGTTCTAGTCGGCAAATTTTAAATGTCCACTAGTGATGTGGCGCTACAATATTTGGCTATGCCTTGGATACTTTAATATTATTTTTTGTTAAGTTTTTGTGTGTTGTAGCTGGCAACACAACTCGGCCATTGAAGGGAGGCCAGTATTTAAACGAGACTTAATTTTCTAATTATGAGTGGTTGTTTGTTTTGTGAGCAATAAAATAATTTTAAAATAATTTTTAACGATACAATAGCAACGATTGTTATTTTTAAAAAATTTGTTAGGCTAAANAAGGGAGGCCAGTATTTAAACGAGACTTAATTTTCTAATTATGAGTGGTTGTTTGTTTTGTGAGCAATAAAATAATTTTAAAATAATTTTTAACGATACAATAGCAACGATTGTTATTTTTAAAAAATTTGTTAGGCTAAACATTGATGAAAATTTAACGCGAAGTTGGTTAATAGCAATATACTAATATACTAATTACATGGGATATCCTAATATACTATACTAATAGTGTGTTTTTTTCATTCTTTTTGGTTATCCGATTTTTTCAGTTATCCGACCAACCTGAGTCCCCAATTGAGTCGGATAATCGATGCTCTACTGTATTTCTGTTCAAGATTAACAAAAAAGTTTTTTGTTAATACNGTCTTTGTTAGGCTTAACATCGACGAAAATTCAACGTGAAGCGACACGCAACGGATAAAAATTTCGACATCGGATACGTTAAACTATTTTTTCGTACGTAAATCAGTTATCTGGACAATCCCAGTCCCCAATTGATTCAGAAAATCGACGCTCTACTGTATATATATAAAATTTTAACCTTAAATTGCAGCATATTCTTTATATTTATTTAACATAGATGATTATAATGATTAAAATTGTATTCATTTTCAAATAAATTTCAAAATACTGAAAACACTAATGATAAGCTATAATTAAATTTATTTGCAAAATTTTCCAAATAATTAAAATGAATGATATATCAACATTTTTCTATTCTCTGATATTTAAAGTGTATTAGTGTTAGTAGAAAATTCAATAAATTTGGATTTTTTTGTTTTCCCATAGTAAAAATATTTAATTAACATTATAAAACAAAATATAAATTTTTTTATGTATTGTAAATAATATTATTATTTAAAATATTTTTGTATATATTTTTTACTAATGGAATTTTTTATTCTCTTGTGTTTTTTTTTTAGTTGCATCTTTGCAAAGTGCTTGTCGAGATACTATTCTTCAGCATGTATCATCAGCCGATGTATTCTGTTTACCATTACCAAGGAAACTAAAAGACTATCTTCGCTATCAATCATGACATTTTTCCATCTGTGATTTATAAAATACTAAATCATTTTGAAGAATCAACTACTTTATCAAATTATTGTCATTATCAATCCTTACAGGAAAAAACAAGAAGTGTATAATAATTCATTATTTATTGATATTTAATTATTAAAGAGCCTATTGCTTNAGACTTCGATACAAAAATGAAAATTTGTGAATTGGCAAAGTAGTTTGATCTACCGGAATTGGCGGTCAGAACAATTATAAAAGGCAAAGAAAAAATTTTCGAAGCTGTGAAAAATGCTCAATCTTTAAATTCAAGCAACATTTGTAAACGTCGCGGTATTATCGCTGAGATGGAAACAACGTTAAAATTATGGCGTGATAATCAAGTAAATGTGAAAAATTATAAAATAATATAGGCCTAATTTGTTATACATATGTATTATCTAAGATTTTATTAAACACTTTTTTCTAAATTATTGTTTTCTTTAGTCTCTGGCCCCAATTAAAAATTATTTGTATGTATTTATATGCAAAATTATACCCCGACTTACGCGAATTTGACTTAATGGTTACCGCTTGGTCCCACCTATCGCATAAGTTTGTGGTATTACTGTATAGTAAAACCTGTGTATACCAGAATCACACTGTACCAAATATTTTTGTTTTGAACAAATATTTTTAACATAAGAAAATTCATTTCATTCCAAAGAATTTTTTTGTTTAGACAGGTTTTATTGTATATAATTTTCACTTTAGAAGGAGGCAAATTAAAAAGAACTGCTGTCATATTTTATTAATTAGATATAGAGATGCTAACAATTGAGTATTAGAAAACATTATACAGTAATACCTCGACTTACGCGATTTTCAAATCTCGTCGATTCCTCTCCCGTGGCGCGACTCTCGATTACTCACTCCCTTCACACTATCATTCGGCTTACGTGTTCGGACGTGTCGTGCGGAATCGACGCGTAGCTACAATTTATTTTGTGTTATTTATTTCTGCGTTTGTTATATCTACGGAGACTTCAGAGACTCTATGTGGTGATTTCTTGTAATCGTGAACGAATCAAAAGACAAGATAAGATTAACGAGAACATTTATTAGCTTACATACATCCGACTTGGATTTTACACAAATTATGAAATTATACCTTGACTTACGCGAATTCGACTTACGCGGTTATCGCTCAGTCCCACCTATCGCGTAACTTCGGGGTATCACTGTATTCTATTATTAAGACTTTAACCTTTAAGGATCAGGTATCTGATCCATTACACAAATTTAAATATCACAGTAGAGACATAATCATATGAATCCATGAGCACTAAGTTTTGTCTCTATGGAGGACTTATCACACACTATGATGTTGTTGGAGTAATTGCACTGTGATAAGTGTTCCTTAGAGCCAAAACTTAGTGCTGATAGATTCATGTTCTAACATAGGGACAAAAAGCAAATCAACTAATAATCATGTTAATTTGTATAATTTAATGTTGTTTTATTGTCCATTTCTTACATTATTCATGAAAATGTTTTGGCAAAAAAGGAAACATATTTTACAATATATGGTTCAACTGCTAATATTCAATTTCTATGTATAGTGTCCTTT